GTTCGTGTGAGGACCGTATGGCCGTGCCTATGGTAAGTTCTGCAGAGGTGGTCTTTTTTGGATGTTTCAAACGTCTCGTTGCTTCGTTTCGCGTGGCAGGCGTGGCACTTCGTGACATTCAGACGTGTTCTGTAACGTGTCGAAAGTCGTTTTGTGTGGCAGGCGCAATACTTTTGCGACGTTTTCAGAAGATGTGTTGCATTTTTCGTGGCAGGCGCAGCACTTTCGACGTGTCCATCGTCATTTTTCGTGGCAGGCGCAGCACTTTAGACGTGTCGTGTTGCGTGTTTATTGCATATTGCAAATCGCATTGGCAGGGCTGCGTCAAGTGGCGACAAGGTGCAAATTCCGTGGCAAGCGTGGCATTTGGTGCGATGTGCTGAAAATTAACGGAAGCCTCGCACGAAACATTGATTTTGAGGTTGCAAATTTTCAGGTTCTAAGGAAAACTCGTAGGAAAACGTCGATTTTGAAGCTACAAAGTGTGAAAATTGGAGGATGTCTCGCACGAAATGCTCGTTTTGGTGCTCCCATCTGTCTCGTCTCGCGTCATTGGTTTTATGGTGGCTTCGCCGTGTCTATTGGGGAAGCTGCAAAACTTGTCCTTTTGTCATGTTGCCAACTGTGAAAATTGGAGGAAGTCTCGTACAAAATGCTGGTTTTTCTGCATCCACGTGTCTTGTCTCGAGTCGCTGGTTTTCCTGTGGCGTCGCCGCGTCTATGGGGGAAGCTGGAAAACCTCTCCTTTTCGAATGTTTCCACGCAGGTTGTCATGTCGTTTTGCGTGGCAGGCGTGGCGCTTTGTGACATTCCAAGCTGTTTGATAACGTGTTGAAAATGTCAAAATTGGAGGAAGTTCGCACGAAATGCTCGTTTTTCTGCATCCATGCGTCTCGTCTCGAGTCTCTAGTTTTTCCTGTGGCGTTGTTGTGTCTAAGGGGGAAGCTCCGCACTCCACACTCTACACTTTGCACTTTACACTCCTCACTCCTCACCTGAGACTTTACACTCCACACTTTACACTACACTCTGCACTTTCCACTCCTCACTCCTCACTCTACACTTTGCACTCCACACTCCACACTCTACACTTTACACTCCACACTCCACACTTTACACTACACACTCCTTACTTTACACTCCACACTTTCCACTCCACACTCCACACTCCACACTTTACACTCCACACTTTACACTCCTCACTCCACACTTTACACTCGTCACTTTACACTCTACGCTCCACACTCTACACTTTACAATCTACACTTTACACTCTACACTCCGCACTCCACACTCTACACTTTACACTCTACGCTCCACACTTTACATTTTACACTCCACACTCCACACTCTACACTTTCCACTCCACACTCCACATTCCACACTGAGACACTTTACACTCCACACTCCACCCTTTACACTTTACACTCCTCACTCTACACTCCACACTTTACACTCCACACTCCTTACTTTACACTCCACACTTCACACTCCACACTTTCCACTCCACTCTCCACACTCCACACTTTACACTCCACACTTTACACTCCTCACTCCACACTTTACACTTCACACTCTATACTTTACACTCCACACTTTACACTCCACATTCCACACTTCACATTCTACAATTTACAAACTCTAAATCCTCACTTTACTCTTTACACTCCACACTCCACACTTTACACTCCTCACTCTACACTCCTCACTCCACACTTTACACTCCACACTTTACACTCCACACTCTACACTTTACACTCCACACTTTACACTCCACACTCCGCACTCTACACTTTAGACTCTACACTATATACTCTATACTCCACACTTTACACTTTACACTCCACGCTTTCCACTTTACACTCCTCACTCCACACTTTACACTCCACACTCTATAGTTTACACTCCACACTCCACACTTTACACTCCACACTCCACACCCTACACACCACACTCTACACTTTCCACTCCACACTCCACACGCTACACTCCACACTCTACACTTTACACTCTACACATTTACACTCTACACTTCACACTCTACAATTTACAAACTCTAAATCCTCACTTTACTCTTTACACTTTACACTCCTCACTTTACACTCCACACTCCTCACTCCACACTTTACACTCCACACTCCACACTTTACACTACACTCTACACTCTACACTTTACACTCCACACTCTACACTCCACACTTTACACTCCACACTCCACACCCTACACACCACACTCTACACTTTCCACTCCACACTCCACACTCCACACGCTACACTCTACACTCCACACTCTACACTTTACACTCTACACTTTACACTCTACACTTCACACTCTACAATTTACAAACTCCACACTTCTCACTCCACACTTTACACTCCTCACTTTACACTCCTCACTCCGCACTCTACACTCTACACTTTCCACTCCACACTCTCCACTTTCCACTCCACACTCGACACTCCACACTTTACTGTACACTCCACACTCCACACTTTATACTTTACACTCCTAGCTCCACACTCCACACTTTACACTCCTCACTCCACACTCCACACTTTACACACTCCACACTCCTTACTTTACACTCCACACTTCAACTCCACACTTTCCACTCCACACTCCACACTCCACACTTTACACTCCACACTTTACACTCCACACTTTACACTCCTCACTCCACACTTTACACTCCACACTTCAACTCCACACTTTCGACTCCACACTCCACACTCCACACTTTACACTCCACACTCCACACTTTACACTCCTCACTCTACACTCCTCACTCCACACTTTACACTCCACACTTTACACTCCACACTCTACACTTTACACTCCACACTTTACACTCCACACTCCGCACTCTACACTTTAGACTCTACACTATATACTCTATACTCCACACTTTACACTTTACACTCCACGCTTTCCACTTTACACTCCTCACTCCACACTTTACACTCCACACTCTATAGTTTACACTCCACACTCCACACTTTACACTCCACACTCCACACCCTACACACCACACTCTACACTTTCCACTCCACACTCCACACGCTACACTCCACACTCTACACTTTACACTCTACACATTTACACTCTACACTTCACACTCTACAATTTACAAACTCCACACTCCTTACTCCACACTTTACACTCCTCACTTTACACTCCACACTCCTCACTCCACACTTTACACTCCTCACTTTACACTCCACACTCCACACTCCACACTTTGCACTTTACACTCCTCACTCCACACTCTACACTCCACACTCCACACTCTACACTTTACACTCCATACTCCACACTCTACACTTTACACTCCGCATTCTACACTTTACACACTCTACACTCCCCACTCCACACTTTACACTCCACACTCCTTACTTCACACTCCACACTCTACACTTTCCTCTCCACACTGCAGACCGGTAGCAAGGGAAAGATGCACAAGACTGTTCAAATAAACTATTGCAGAAAGGTATTGTGCGTGACTGCAAAACCATGTGTTTTGACATCTGTATCATTAACATACGTGTGAGCATTCGGGTTCGTGGGCTTCATCTTGTTTTTTACCCAAGGAACGGAGGACCATGGCATTTAAATCTATATGGAAGCTTCCGAAAATGGGGGTGCCACAAAATGGATGGTTTAGAATGGAGAATCCTATTCAAATCGATGATTTCGGGGTATCCCTATTTTAGGAATCCCCCATATGTTTTCCTCGAATTTTTCCGACAAGCTCGCATTTTCAGAGATGTTGTTGCAAACATCACCAGGACTCCAGTTGGTCTATCAAGGACCCTCAGATGGGGTGTGAATTGTACAAGTTGGTGCGCCAGTTCGTGAACGCTAAGTTGGTGCAAATATAACTCCAATTTCACTATATTGTTTATGGTAGATATATCGAACTACTTACAGTGGTTTATAAACCAACAAACATCACTGCGGGGGACACCAAATTGTATCATGTTATTATGGTCCGGAAAGGATCTCCATGGCGGCAAGGGGCCCCAGAGTAGCCGCTGTTCACGTTGGAGCACTGTGTGCTGAAGCTGCCATCGTGGGCCAAAGCCTATCACAGGGTTTCACAGAAAAAAATGAGATAAATCCAATGAGAAAGCCACATCAAAACGATTAATAATACATATTTTTAAAAAACATTTTTTTTCAACTGTGGCACTAACAATGGTAAATCCAATTATATCCAATGCAGGTTTCAGCCCTTATCGGGGATGGTTTAGTACTGGGTTACCACATTCTCTACTTACATGGTTATATAGTCATGTAGCTATCCACCTTGATTAATGGGAATTTCAGGATCCTAAAATGGAGGTGCTGTACCATATAAGATCATATTTTGTGGGATATTCCCTTACATAAGGCCTATATGATATTCCCTTACATAAGGCCTATATGGTAGTTCCTGAAATGGCCATTGACTTGATATAATTGTGGTTTTGTGGCTATGGATCCGCTGTGAATACAATCTTTAAGGGGATGCACATTCATTTACAAGCAAATTTTGGTGTGAACAGAAGGGGTACAGGATTTGGAACCACCCCCATAGTGCAATATATTTATCCAAGGGTTGCTCTTTGCTTACTCAATCTCATGCTTCGATGGCGAAAAGCAACCTCCAAAAAAATAGAAGAGTTGACAGTCAAATCCCACCCCCAAGAAGGGGACCCAAAAAAGAATGGATCCAGTAATAAACCATGGTTTTGCTTGTGGGGTGTTTATATTATAAAAGGGGAAGGGGTTACTAAACCAGGATGATATTGGATTTTGATCATCAACAAGGGTTACTGAACCAGCAATAATCGGATCTATGATATGGATTGTCCGAAACAACATATTTGCCCACAATAAACGGCTCATCTGCAGTAAAAAATATGTTGAAAACAGCAGAACCTGTTGGTTGCCTATTCTAAGCATTGGCAACATCCGCACACAACGCAGCGGTGGGCAGCAAACTTCTGCACCGCTGTTTTTTTCGCTTTTTTGGAATTCTCCTGCTGAGCAGGTGCGGCAACTACCCAGATGCGCAAGAACAGTTCTTCATGATCAACCCCTTCGATTCTGAAAAAACAATCCAAGACAGACTGAGAAATGGATGGCACAACATCACAGAAGTTCTCAAATTTGGGTTCTGAAGGATTCTAAAGCTTGGGGGTGATCTGCGATTTGTGCAATTGGATCCAACCAAAATGGCCTGCTGTGCTTCGCATCAGCTACCAAGGCGGCGGCTCCGACTTCTGTTCATGACGAGTGGAGGTCGTTAGCCACCGCGAGTTTTGAATACAATTCCTCAAAGCATCTCAAAGCCATATGCTTCCTGTCTCACTTTGAGATCTCTGAGATTGACTGGAATCCACGGGGTCACCACGATTGTTAGGTGTGTGGAGACTGTGGCTGGTCGCCGAAGCCATGTGCAATTCGAGCGTCATCCTCGCCACCATCTCCTCCAACTTGCGAAGTTGGTTCACCATCATCCTTTGCATCACGATCTTTGGGTCCAGCCTCGTGTTTTGCGGGGGGCCACATGGCGATGCCATAGATGCCACCGATGACACAGGTGGCACTGATGCCTTCTTCGCTGGGGGGAAAGACCTGAGTTCATGCTGCCCATGGGCAAAGTTGCAGGCTTGGCCTTTTCGGCAACGCCCTGTGTTCCCATACTCGTAGCAAAGACCTGTTGCTTGAAGACTTGGCTTTTCACACAGCTCACTCTCCGAGTGTGCAAATGGGCAGCCCATGCCATTGAAGCACTTGCGTGGGCCCAAGTACCTGCAATGAAACAATCACAGAGTCTTACATCTTGCAGTGGAAACTCACGCAACCCATTGAAACAAAATACAACCAAAAATGGCATTTTAATAAGGAACATGATGATGAATCATTCGATTGGGGCGTAGCCTATTTTCAGACAAAGCCAAATAACAAAATACCCAGGCACTAATTTTGTTGCTTTGATATCCAGCATCTTCGTTGGTTAGACCTCTTCAACCCCTATTCTTGTCGGCTAAATCAGTAAAATGTTCAATTCATCATCAGATTTTCCGTAAGAGAAGCAATATCCCCTGGTACATCCTGGTACTCTGTTGAATATAGACCATCCTCCATTTCGAGAAACATGTCCCAGCATGTCCCGGCTATAGATCTCCCATGTTTGAAAACTCGACCCAGGCACTTACACATCCGCGTGAACTTCAAAGCCTCCCGTGTTTCCTCGGAAGTCATTGGAACTGAAAAGACGCAAACCCCACCGACCAAACCGACCAAGCTCAATGGCTGCGGCAGAGAAAAATCGCACCCCTAAAGTGGAGGCGCCTGCCATAAGGTCTATTTTTCAGGGATCAATTTTCACAAGAAAATATGGCCTTTGAAAAAGTACAGTAGCTCCATTTTGTCCTGAAATCCCATTGACCAAGGGCTCGGTGTTTTCTGAAATCCGATGACACTCGTGAATGTATGGGTATGGTGTCCCCAGATTCGGTAACTTTTTGGACCCAGTTCTTTTTTTGATCCTGATTCAACCAAGATTTGAGTATGGATGTTGCTTCTGGTTTTGCGAACCATTCATTTTTACTGAATATATAGTTAAATAAACTTCTTAAAACAATGGGTCGTATTCAATATGTTTGATGGTTGATCGTCAGGTTTCTCCTTGAACGAATTCATGAACAGTGTTTGGGGTATCCTCCATGTTTGGACATACCCACATTAAATCCAAAAAATGGCTGGTTACCCTCTATATTTGATGGTTTTCGACATTTTTTTGGAACCCATCAAGACATGGATAGAATTTGTAACCGAGTATAGTGCTTTCCAGGGATCGGGATCGTGGATCAGTTCACCGATGAGCCAATCTATCCCATGAAATCCGTTGTTAAATTCCAGCACATTCGCGATCCATTGCCATTAGAAAAATGATTTACCCCTGCTAACTGTGGTGAACCACCAATTTTTGATTCCGTTAATATCACTTTATATCAAACTATATCTGTTGGATCATGGTTTTGTGGGTATTGCCTGATAAAGTGGACCCCCCCGTTGCTAGTTCCGTGCTTAAAATCAAATTGAACAACACATATTATGGCTGATATACTCCCATTATATCCATTTGAAACAATCATACCATCCCTAGATTTTCATTGAAAACCCATTATATACTCATTATCAATCACTATTGACCACTATCAAAGACTAGTTACACTATTATCCCATGAAAACTCACAATTTGGTTCCCATTGAAACGTTTTTTTTCCGATTTCGCCATGGCCGGCGCCTGAGTGGCTGAGATCTGGCCGCTCATGCTGCCTACCGTGGCCTGAGCTGGTGAAAGCCATGGGGGTGGCCGCCATGGCCAAGCTGCCAGCCCCTGGTGACATTCACAGTTTGTGAACTGGAAAATTGCCATTTAGTTCGTTGATTTAGCTATTAAAAATGGTGGTTAGCTTGCAAAAAATAAGAGAGATTCTTAGCTGGTGCGTTAGTAGATAATTCCATACCAAAAGATCTTTTGGATTAGTTTCTACCAATCTAAGATTGCCCTACCAATGGGGATTTGTGACATGCCTTGCGACAATCCAAAACATTTCTCGGGCTTGTAGATATTGAAGGCAATGATTCACGATAGGAAATTGATACCATCCTTGGCTTAAAATGTAGACTTATGGTGGATGTGTATCTTTCATGTTGGATGAAATTATAACAAAAAAGCCTAACTGGTGGGGGGGGGCCCTCGGGTGGGGCCACACAACTATAGAGTATGTTCCTGTTGGATTCCTTAGCTATGGTAGAAGACGTTGCACACATATTCTGAACAACAGTTCCAAACTGGAAAGAGGGGCAGGGAAAAACACCCCAATCGGGGATCAAATGTGGGATTCAAAATGCCACAGTATTCCACCAAGTATCAACCGTTTTGGTGCTATCCTAAATCAAAACAAGAATTGTTTATCCCCGAGTTAAGCAACCATCTTGACATGATAAATTCCCAAATCATCCGACTTGGTTTGTGACTATTGCAACACCAAATATACCCAATGCTACACCACAAACTGGCAGTTCCTTCTCACAAGGCCCCCTGTGAGGTATGACCCTGGCCAATTCTGAGATGGTACTGGCATTTGTGTCCAGCTAAGCACATGAAGGGGTAACAAGCAGCGTCCGTGCAAAAAAAATCCAAAGCAGATTTTCAATAACCAAAGTAAAACGCAATTACATGCGGACAAAAATCTGTTTGGAATCACAAGGGCACACGCGCATAATCTATCTATCTCTCTCTCTCTCAATATATATATATATAAATATAAATTCAAAAAAAGTAGATCAGTAAGTAAAAAATGGAATGAATATATATATATATACACACCTATTCATGTTGATTCAATGTACTGGAGCAAACGCGTTGATGTAGGTAGATGAATGCACATAACATGTACAATTCGTAAGTACCAAATGAACATATACAATCATATATATATAATTCTTTTTGTCTGCGCGCATGCATGTGTGACTGTGCATGAAAAAATGACCGGACACATTTTAAAACCCCATGTTGTGTGTATACATATCTGCGCACAGAGCCCCGAAAGTGGCTGCAGTTGTCCCATCTAGCGCCCCCGGCTGCAGCCGCAGCGGTGCTTGCATCACAAGAACGCCTTGGCAGAAAAACGCGCAAGGTTGTCGCCACTGTGCGCCGTGACATGGTGAACACACTGGGGAAATATTTCCGAAATTGGATGGGTTTAAAGACCCAGGTGCATGGGGGGAGAATCGGTGCGTAGCTGAAAACAGGCTTGCCAAAGGATGCTAGAAGCACACCGGCAGCATTGCGCGGCATCACCCAAGCTAGTTGCATCTTCAAAAGCGTGTCGTCGCATCTGAGGGGCAACATGAGCGGGTATAGGCTGAAATTCTCCAATCATGTTCGATGTGCATGGCTTTTTTTTTCGTATGCCATGCGCCCGCCTGACTCGCCGGTGTGGCAAAAAGCAAGACCTGAAACCTGATGCCTGGGTAAAATGATGAGCCGCTACTGTTGACACACGGGGTTATAATCCGACTTAGCACCAGTTAATGGCGCATAAAAGTTCTTGTTCCAGCAAAGAATCCGGTGGCAAGCGCTGGGGGCAATCTATGAGCTAAGGGCCGCGCAAGAAACCTGGACTGAAGGTAAATCGGAGGCAATATCCTAGCATGATGATTACCATGTGACCATACCAATTAGCATCGTTGCTATTTATTAAAGCGCTATGTTCCATAGTGTTCTTCTATCATCACTACCGGGCAAATTACGGATGTTGAGCGGAATGTTCTAGCTACATGACTACATGTTTGGCTAAAATCTACAATATTGCGGTGGCAATCTCTCTAAAATTTGTTGGTAATCGGCATGGTTGGAAAATATCTCTGGTATGAGGCAAGCCCACTGCCACAAACAATCCACCCAAAAAGAACCCAAAAAGGATTTTAATCTTTAGTTCCGACACGTGGATCCAGGGTCCAGATGTTGGATGACTGCATTGGATCAATTTTGATTGAACAAATGGATGACATGCAATGTGATCCCCCTGCTACACTCCTCAGTTCAGAACAAATATGGAGGCGAAAACGTGTGGCTTTGGTTGAGGACCTCATTTTTTGGGTTCAGCGGATGATATACCAGTTCCACATGTGTCATGGTTAGTTGCATGGGATTAAAGGGTTGTGGTCATCCCACCAAAAAGAATTGGACATCTGAATTTTCAGCAAGAGATCCCAAACACTGCTGAGGAGAACATCTGACCAGGACCTCATACCAGGACCTCTAAGAGAATGTCGCGGGAAAGAGGAGTTTGTGGACCTCAGTGCCCTGCTGTTTCCCTGGGTCGTCTTTTGAAGCTGGCCTGGTGCTTTTAGCCTCCATTCTTCCCAGGATCCCCACAAGATCTTCTCACAAGGACCTGTGCAGTACCTTGACCTCGAGTAGAATCTCATAAGACGTGATAGAAGAACCTGCCAGAGAGGATCTTGCAAGATCTTTTTGCAAGGACCTCCTGAGAGCATCCCAGAAGCGCTTTCAGACAAGCACCTTTATGTAGTAATAAATGACATCTTTAAGACCTTCATGCAAGGACCCCTGAGAGGATTTTGCTACAAGATCGTCTTACAAAGCCCGCTGCAAAATCTTGATCGAGATCTTCATAAGACCTCGAAGAGAATCTCACAAGTCGTCACTCACAAGATCGTCGTAGAAGGACCTGCTACATAGAGAAGACCATCCCACAAGAGCTTTCATAGGAGCACATTGAAAGCATGACATCTTCAAGGTCTTCATGCAAGGGCCTCTGAGAAGATTCCATCAGGATCTCCACAGGATCTTCCCACAAGGGCATCTACAAGACCATGCAAGGACCTCTCAGAGGATTTATTTCACCAGGATCTTCACAAGATCTTCTCCCAAGGACCTCTACAAAGACTCTAGTCAAGATCTTCATATAAGGACCTCTTAGAGCGCACTTTGAAACTCCCGCAAGATCGTCATAGAAGGTCTCGCGCAGAATCAAATGCTCTCTTTGCTGCGATCTCTGAAAAATCAGCTAGCATGAGCACTGCACCACAATGAGAGCTGCACAAATAGAGGAGAGGGTTCGGTGAGCGATATCACAGTTCGCACAGGGCCACAGCGAGAGCGATCTGACACGCACAAAGTGACCAGAGGGCTCGGCAAACGATATCAAAATTGGCATAGGGCCGCAACGAGAGCGAAACTCACGAGAGGGTTGCGCGAGCTCATGTGAGAATTTTCTCCAATTTACGCGCGTGCCATGACGAGTGAAAGTTGGAAACGTGAAAAACCATGATGTTTTACCTAGGTTCAGCCACTGTTTCGTCGAGGTCTAGTAGTGCGCCTAGCACGAAAAATGGGCCTAAGGCATCCCAAGTATTGCGCCCGCAACGCAACATGATCATCATGTACCAAATCGTAGTTTCACAAACGGAGAGTTTTAGAGCTTTCAAAGTGTCACAAACCACGAGGGAACACGGACATGCCACAAGGGAACTGGGGAACTTTTGTGCGAGGTGCAGACAAAACCCGGAGGCCAGATCGCGAACTCTGCACGAGCCCGGCTTTACCCTTACAGTATGAACCCCTCATGTAGAAACTCTGTTTGGGAACAAACATAGATTCACAATGGGTACAAAATATGAAGCCCTATTTTCAAATGGGCTGATAACCATCCCGGAACTCATGGGATCCGTGGTTTGGTATCAACATGTCGCTGAAAGTGGGAATAGCGA